TAGAGGCACCAGTATGAATGCGTCCTTTGAATGAAATAAGTCAAAGACATGTAACTACAAAAGACATTTTTTCATTGATATGAAGATGCAGCAGAGGACATCCTAATAATTATGGTAGTCAGAATAGAGGATCATTAGCCAAGAGGGTAGTGGGGGTGAGTGGCAAGATGTCATGCTCCATGGTGAGGGCTGGATTCAACACAGTGATGGGTGCTGTGGTTACCGGGGTGTTCACATATGTGATTGAAAGATTAGTGCACTTTACACATGATGCTGTACACACACCTGTGTGTGTGTATTGTACCTAAATTAAAAAGTTTTTAAAAGCCCATAAAATCTGAAAAATACATAAAAAAGGGTAAAGAAAGAAAGTTAGGAGTTTGATCTGTCAAAACATTTAATAAGATAAATACACATCTAGTATGACTCGGGGAAAAAAGAAAGAAAGCAGCAATTGCTCATATGAGGAATGAAGAAGGGGGCATCATATATACGCAAACCTATGTTCATGGCAGCATTATTCACAATAGCCAAACTTGGAAGCAACCTAAATGCCCGTTGATGGAGGAATGGATAAAGAAGATGTGGTTATATATACAATGGAAGCTGCTCAGCCATAAACTAAGAAGGCACCTTGCCATTTGAAACAACCTGGATGGATCATGAAGGTATTATGCTCAGTGAAATAAGTCAGAATGAAGAAGACAATTATCAAATGATTTCTCTTATATGTGGAAGATAAACCAACAAACATAGACATGGAGAACATATTGGTGGTTACCAGAGGGAAAGAGGAGGAGGCCAAAGGGCTAAAGGGGGCATGTGGACTAGACAGACAGAAACTAGACTTTGCGTGGTGAACACCATGCAGTGTGCACAGAAGCTGGAATGTAAAGATGTGCACCTGAAATTTATATACTAATATAAATCAATGTTACCCCGATAAAAAATCAGGAGGCATTATGAAAGATCCTATGGAGGTTAAGCGGAAACAGAGAGTCTAAATGAATTTAGGAAAATTATTGGAAAAATTAAATAAGTTATACTAAAACATTCACGAAACTTAATTAAGAAAAACTGACATAGGAAGCAATAAAAAATGTGAGTAGTCCAGGAGCTTTTAAAGAAATTTAATCCATAATTAGAAAATTTGCCACCAAAAAGGAACAACAAATCTTCAGTCTCAGTTTCAGTGGTGTATTCCTCCAATTATTTAAGAAATAAATAGTAGCTCTCTCATGCAACAGTAAGAGAAGAAACACTCCCTACCTTGTTCCATGACACCACTATGAACTTGACATCAAAATCTGATGAGGATGTAACAGGGAGAATGGAGTCTACCATCTGTCACAAACAGTGAGGCAGAAAAAAACTAACGCATGAAACATTGACTCAACCCACATGTTAAAAGGGAAGTATGACATGACCCAGTAGGCTTAGTTTCAGGAACACAGGGACGATTTAACATCTGAACATCAATGTCATTCACCACATTAACACGTAAAGGAGGAAAACATCTCCGTAGATGCAGAAAAATTATTTGATAAAATTCAAGATAGATTTGTGAATAAAATCCACAGCAAATTTGACTAGAAGCTAACTTCCTTTAATTTGAGAAATAATGTGAAAAGTGATCTGGATATAACATCAATTTTCTGTTTTCAATGGAGACATATTTGATATATATTTTTTTTCCTGAGGATGATTAGCCCTGAGCTAGCATCTGTGCCTGTCTTCCTCCACTTCATGTGTGGGTCGCCACCACAGAATGGCTGAGGAGTGGCATAGGGCCGCGCCCAGGATCAGAACCTCTGAACCCAGGACACAGAAGTGGAATGCTGTGAAGTTAACCACTGTGCCACGGGGTCAGCCCCACAAAGACATCGTTCTTAATGGTGAAATATTGAACAGGTTCCTCTGTATATTTGATAAGGAGACGAAGACTGTCCCTCCTAGCATTCTGATTTAACGTGGTTTGGACGTCTGAGCCAGAGCATACAGACATCTGGGGTCCTGGCAGGTAAACAAACGTACCTCAGAGATTGCCAGTGAAGCGACACAACTGAGAGGACAACTTCCACAGGTGTGGACAGGATAGACAGAGCAAACAAGGGATGGAATGCCCCTGAACAGCAACTGTGGGCAGCCGGGATCCCTGGATCTCTGGGGAGCTGGGTCAGGACCTCATGTCCAGAGATTTCGTGAAGACGCAGGAAGAGCCCCCACCTCCGTCTCCTTCCCCACTGTGTTGTGCTGCTGCCTCTCTGTGGGTGAGCCCCACCTGAAGCCAGCCGGCCAGGGAAGCATGAAGGGGGCAGGGGTGAACACAAACCTAAGGTGGAAAAAATCTCAAGCGTGCCCAGTGCAAGAATGAGACACTTCCTCCCTCCCTCTCCTTGGAGAGTTTCCTCAAGTAAGTCCTGTCTCTTCTTCTTTGAAGTGGGTGTAAGACTGAAAGCTAAATAAGCCTGTTTCCAGCTCTGTAACTTACCTGCAACGTTTGCTCAAGGACCTGGGAAGCAGCTCTTGGAAACAGAATCCTCTAGGAAGACAGCACCCCTGCCTCCCCGTTGCTGTGGGAGGGAGGGCCTAACTTCAGGGGCCACCTTGCTCTAAGTCGCAGTCCTGCTCCGTGTCATAAAGACATGGGGAGTTTAATTTCCTTTGGATAAAGGCAATTAGTAAACTCAGATTGCTGCCCTGATTGCGAGGTGAATGCAGGATGGATTCATTGTGACAAATCGTGCTCTGAAGGTGCTACTTGAGGCTAGCTGCCCCTCTCTCAAAGATCTATTGACCTTGTTTGTGTGGACGGCTTTTCACTCAGAGCACATCTCTGTTCCATTATCTGCTGCTTTGCCAATACCACACTGTCTTTATTACTGCAATTGCATGTCTCAAAACTGGTAGGTGATCTGATTCCTACAACTTGTTTTTCGTCTTCAACTTTGTTTTGTATTTTTCAGTTCTTTTGTGCATTCAAGTTTTAAAATCAGTTGGTCCACATCTCCCAAACATCTTTCTGACATTTTGATTGATCTTCTGTGAAGTTTTTGAATCAATTGGGCCAGAGAATTGAAATCTTTCCTATGATGCATCTTCTAGTCTGCGGCTCCATTGGTTAGCTCGTCTCTGGCTTATTCTGTCAGCATTTCGTAAACATCAGTCTTTAAGTGCATTGCAGGTGTGGTTACATTTGTACCCAAATATTTGATTTGATTTTGGGGGGCTATTGACAATTGTATTTTAATTTTAATTTTGATTCCATTCATACATTGATAGTGTGTGAAAAGAATAACTTTTCTGTATTGACCTGTGATCTTGCTAAAGTCACAGATTTACTCTAGGTGATTTTGGGGAAGATTGCTTTGATTTTTTTCATAGATAAATGTGTCCTGTGCAGCTGGAGACACCTTGCATTTCCTTTCATATTTGTGTTATAGTCAATAGAAGTAATGAGAGTGGACATCCTTGTCTTTGTCCAGATCTCAGGGGAATCATCCACGTTTTCACTGTCAAGGATGACATTAGCCATAGGTTCCCTTTATCAGATTCAGGAGCGCCCTTTTATCCCAAGTTCACAGACTGTTTTATCAGGAATGGATGCTGTGCTTAGTCAAATAGTTTTCTGTATCGATTGATACAATCAAGTGAGTTTTCTTCTTTACACAGTGTCTATGTTGGATTGAAGTGGTTGATTTAAAAACATTGAACCGGCCATGAATTGTGGGGATGACTCCTGCTTTGCCACGGTGGCGTGTTATTTTTATATATCGCTGAGAGGAATTGCTGACACTTTGTTAAGGATTTTAGGATCTATGCTAATAAGGGGTATCTGTAGTTCTCTTTCTTTGTGCTGGTTGTACAAAGAAGGCTGGTCTCCTCAAACACGTTGGTGGGTGTCTTTCTATCTCCTGGTTAATTTTTGATACTGATAATTTGTCTCTTTCCTTGTTGGTCTTGCTAGCATTTGACTAGTTTTACTGAAGTTTTCAAAGAGTTAGCTTTTGGGCTCATTCATTTTCTCTACTGTTTTTCCACTTAAAATTTCATCCATCTCTGTTCATCTTAATTTTACCATTGTTTTGCCTGAGTGTCATTGATTTTGACCTTCTTTTCCAAATTTATTAAATTACAGCTTAGATTATCAACTTAAAGTATTTATTCTGTTTTAAAACTAGCATTTAATACATTTCCCTCTAAGTACCACTTTAGCTTAATGCCATACATTTTAATATTTTCAGGAAATTTTGCCTTCAATTTTCAAATATGGTTTCAGTTAGTTCAGAATTCTAAGTTGATGACATTTAAACTTCCCTTCAGTATTTAGAGTTGTCATCCCATTGTCTTCTGGCTTTGTGTTTTCATGTAAACTTTTGATGTTGTCATTAACTTTGTTCCTCTCTTCATAATGTGTTTTCTTTTTCCTTGCTGATTTTACTTTTTTGTCTTGTTTCACTGTTTCCAAAAGTTTGATTTTGCTGTTCCTGGATTCAATTTTCTCTAATCCTTTTCTTCTTGGCGTACTTTGGTCATTTTAGATCTGTTTATACTCTACATAAAGTTTTGAAAATGTTTGCTCATGATTACTTCAAACTTTTTGTTCGTCTTCCCTCTCTCCTCTTTGTGGGAGTCCAAGTGCATGCACATATATTAGACTCCTTTTATTTTCTCTTACATTACTGACACCTTCCCTTTTGTGGACACTTTACTTGGAGCTCCATCTTGCGTGGTTTCTATTACTCTTCAAGTTTACTTATGCTTTAACCTGCGGTGTTAATCTAATTCTGTATATTTTTCATTTGAGATATTGCATTTTTTTTTAACCTCTAGAAGTTCCAAATTCACAATAATTCTACCAAGGTCATTTTCTGTTAGACTTTGGAAATTAATAACAGGAACCTCACCTAAGTTGGAGTCAGGAAGGCCTGTAGGGAGCTCTCGTGCACCATCTCGCATCAATAATTACTCCAAACAGGAAGATACCTATGCTGCATCTCCAGAAGGAGGTACGAACTTTACTGTTGAAAGAAGATTCCTCTCCCCACTGGGCAACAACCCATCCAGTGGAAACACTGCAGCTCAGCCAATGAGAAGCCATCACCACCCTGACCTTTTCTTTCCCTCCAATGAACATTCATTTAGAACAGTCGCCCGGACTCCACCTTTCTCTCTATAACAGCAAGCCCACTCCTTCCTCTCTCTGGATTTGCCCAAGGGGCACCACAGCAGGCCCACCGTGAATTGCAATCCATTGCTGATCGCAGATAAACTTAGTTTTAGCTGGGGAAGAGAAGGCTATTTATTTGTTTAATATCACTGGATTAAAGCACTTGTGTGTTTCATTCAACAGAGGCAGACGAGAGAAGACTGGCCCATTTTCACTACTGCCTGAGGTAATTGGTTCCTGGTGCTGCAGTTACATACTTCCAGTCACTGCCCAAGGCCTCTCCCAATTTGTGACATATGTTGCAGTGTCTCCTGGAGTACAAACTGAAGGAAGTAGTAAGGACTCCTCTGACTATTTTAAATAATTGAGCAGAGGCAGTAACCAGCTTCCTCTAAGGTGTTAAAGAAGGTGCAAGACAATGTGAGGACAGTGAGTCCTTGGGAGAGGACAGAGAAGAAAGCCCCAGACCAGAGTAACAGAGGACATGTGCCACCATTCACCTGCTCCCGAGCTGGTCCCCATACTCTGTGGTCCTGAGCATCCCCTGCATCCCAGCCCCTCCAGTCTCCCTGCAGGGATGCTTGGGTCTAGGCTCACACTGACTTGCCCTCTCTGTGTGTTTCTGTGAGTCTCGCACAGTAATACAAGGCTGTGTCCTCAGTGGACACAGAGCTCAGCTGCAGGTTCACAAATGTGTCTTTGAAGATGGAGAGTCGGCTCTGAAAGGATGGGCTGAGGCGAGGCGTGAGCCACCACTGGAGCCGAGGCAGCCCATCCACTCCAGCCCCTTCCTGGAGGCTGCCGGATTCAGGCCCGAAAGTAACTGCTGATGAAGGAGATTCCAGAGACAGAGCAGGAGAGGGAGAGGGTCTGCAAAGTCTTCTCCAGTCCTGGCCTTGACTCTGGCAGCGGCCCTGGGACAGGACCCTGGGGGACAAGGAGGAAAATGGTGAGTCACAGGCAGACAGCACAGCCCACGGCCCCATTTCTGAAATCTCTGTGAGACTCCCATGGATGTGCAGCCACCAGGTGGGGACAAAACACAGAGATCTGAGGTTTTTCCCAAAGATGGGTGTGACTTTCCCAGAGGTCTTGCCAGGCCAGAGCGAGAAGCATCACAGGCTCTCTGCAGCCTGGCGTTGTGCCGTGCTGAGTCCCTGGAGGGACATTTGCAAGTGCTCTACCTGTGGCTTCAAGAGTCAGCTGGGCAGCCACTGCCGTGACTCAGGTGGACTCTGCTCTGCCTTCATGTCCTGGCCCACTCATTGGCCGTGCCTCAGTGGAAGTAGATTGGGAACCTTCTTGGGAGCAAGTGAGGATGGGGAATGAGGAGAGAGACGCAGGATACAATCAGCGGAGACAGAACTCTGCATTGGAGGAGAAGCCTTCAGGAAACACTTGACAATTTTTCTTCGCTTTGCGAGTTTACGAAGCAGCAGGGGAGTTGCAGTAAAGTCACAGACACCCCAACCCTAAGTCCACACACAGAGAAACTGTCTCTTCAGCCCAGGAGCAGCAGTCTCTGCACAGAAGCTGCAGGGGCTCCAAGGGTCTTTCCCCGACCCAGGCCATGGCGCTGCCTTGCCATGCCCGACCAAGAGAGACCTGAGTCAGCATCGGAGGGCCACCTCAGGTGTCTCTGCAGAGCGTCTTCCTGCTGCTTCCTTAACACGTCAAGTAGAGCGAGAGCCATATCAATGCACACCTCACCTCAGCAATGGAGAGGCCAAGACATATTTTCCTGTCAAGGGAGAGACAGTGACCTTACGACAAACACATTACCTGACTACCTTTCACATTAAGGGGAAAATAAAATTGACTAAGAGGTTTTTTCAGTGGAAATTGTGCTTATTTATACGTAAATTAGTAACAAAAATAATCAGGTACTAACTGCAGTCAACGTATACAGTTTAAAGGGATATTCGATGAAGCAATTGTATGTTAATAAAAAGTGGACAACTGTCAGCTCACCCTGTACATGACTGTCGTGCTCCTGCTGGAGAAATCACAGCCTTCCCGCAGGTGGATTTTCCCAGAGCAGCCAGTGGCCTTCTCATGCCTCAGAGCACAGCCCAGAGGGGAGGCACCCGGTATGCAAGGGTGCCTAACCTTTCTCTTCCCAAGGAACGTGTGGGCTTCCATCTAAGCAGAAGCAGAAGAGACCTTCAGCACCTGCAAAAAGAGACAAGGCTACATCAAGCAGCACCATGCTCATTGGCCACAGTGACTTGTGGGCATAGTCAACCCCTCTGCCCCAACTCAGGCTGCACAACCCCAGGCTACATGGTGAGAGAAGTAGATTTTATGGTGGGGTTGCTGCTGCCCCCATGGTAGGCCCTCCTTCCACACTGCTCCACAGGGGTCAACCATGATGATACCGCTTGATGTGAATGCAAATACCTCAGCCCTGAAATCGGTTGAAGTGATTTCCCATCCATCCACCCACCCCAACATCCATTCTGCTATCAATCCATCCACTCATTCATTCTTCTGTCTGTCTGTCCTTCCATCTACCCACCTTCCCATCTCTTCTGCCATCTATATATATATTCATCCATCTGTCTATCCATCCTTCCACCTATCCACGCATTTATTCTTCCATCTGTCTTCCATCCATCCACACATCCATCCATCCACCCACCCTCACATCCATTCCTCCATCGATCCATCCACTCATTCACTCTACAATCTATCAGTCCATCCAACTACTCACACATCACTTCATCCAAGCATCCACCTTCCCATCCATTCCTCTACTTTTCTATCCACCCATTCATCCACTCATATGTGCTATAAACATTTAAGAATCAGTACCACATGGCAAGTCTGATCTCAGTGTTGGGATCATGAGAGAGAACATGGATAACAGGCTCGTTTTCTTACCAATTGTAACATGGGTGGGAAGAAGACAGATGGCAAATTCGCCTGCTTGTTCAGTTTCTTGCAAGATGACATTGGATGATATGCTAGAGAACAATGGAGGCTTCTGTGTGGACACATGGTAATGCAGGCCTCTGTGAGGGACTGAGTCCTGCGGGAAGAGAAACAAGCAAACAACTGCAGAAAAGACAGGGAGTGAGCACACATCAGCAGAGCAGCTGGTGAAAGGTCCTTCAGGTTAGGCAAGGCTGTTATATTTTAAGCAACTGAGAATGCTACATGGAGCACAAATCTCTTGCCTGGTTTCTCATTTTCCCTTGTGTGTACACCTGTGTGGGTTCAACAGCGATTCTGCTAAAACTAAATATGGCACTGATTTGCTATTGCCCTTATTTTTAAATAAGCGAAATGGAAAACAAAGAACCAGAGAATCCAACATTGTGCTGTAGGCTGACCCCCTCTTAGCAACTATTTTCTTTCTCAGTCTCCTCTCCACAGGGGACATTAAGTCCTCTCTCTGCCTCTCTGTCTCTCTGATCTCTTCCTGTCTCTCTCATCGTCTATCCCATCTCTCTATGTGTCTTTTTATCAGCTTATCATTTTAACAAATGCTTTCAGCTTCCGTCTACTGTGCTAAAACTATCTTTTCACTAACCAAGAAATTTTAGAAAATGTTTTGTTCACTTTATTACAAAATTCTGTGTTATTATTTTACTGCAGCATCTTCTCCATTATGGGTGCAGAACTTTTGGAATTTAAAAGTGTTATTAATTGCCATTTTTTCATGATAACAATTAATGTTTCAAATATGGTTTTTGTATGAGCGTGGGAATTAATGTATTTAATTACTGTGTCACAGGAATGAGGATTTTAAAGGACTCTCTTATGTCATCCTACAGAATGGATATGCCAAAATACAGCAATGACTCATATGAAAGTAGCTTTTACAGCTTTCTATCCCCTTGGATGTGGATTAAGGCTGCCCCAGCTAGAGAAGCCCAAGGTGACCTGGCCTACATGCCAAACTATATGACCCGGTGGATTTTTATGGTATGAATTAGGGCTGCCCCAGGGAGAGAAGCCCAGGGTATCCTCACCTACATGCCGATCTATATGACCAGATTCGTATCTAAAGTTATATGACCGCACAATAACCAGACCCCATCTGCACTGAAATCATTTAATGACTTTTTACATCATCTTTTCTTTTTCCAGTAAAAATAAGTCCTTTACCCATGTCTTATAAATTTAGCCCTAACCCCCAACTCAGGGCAGCAGCAGGAGCTCTGACTGCCCATGGGTCCTGTCCCCATGCTATTCCACACTACTCTCTAAATAAAAGAGCACTACTGCCAGATCTTGAGAGTCCAAGAAATCTTTCTTTTGACTCCTCGGCTCACTGACCCCACATTACCCTTTTCACCTTTTTTTTCTTCTAAGGACTGTTCCTCTTAATTCTTCCCAATGTGGTGGGCTATGTTGAGGGGAGGATTGTCTTTCCTGTGCCACCCATGCTGGAACGGCTGGTGGAATATTATGTAATTTGAAACAACAAATGAGCCTGGAAGTACCAGGCAGAATTTGCTTGGGTCCAGAAGCAAAGGAAAGTAAAAAGAGCAATTGAGTTGTGAATGACACCTGAATACCCCCTGCATTTCTGAAGTGGGTTTAATAACTCAGGATGGGAGAAGCCCCAGGGCTTGTGGCTGAAGCTGAGGCCACTGCCTTAGTTGGGCTCTTCTAATTCTTTAAGCTGTGAAGGCAGGTGGTAACTGCTCACTCACCAGGAGCCATCCTGGACATGGTGGAAAACTAAACACGGAGCCCCTGCTGTTCACGAAGCAGTCAAAGAGTTTAACTTGCCGTGTGGAACAGCAACACTGAGCTAACAAATCGCCCTTGTGGGATGCCATGAGGAGCAAGTGGAACCTGGGAGGAAGGAGCACGATACTGTCTCATACGGGGTGTCCTGACCGGGGATCACAGCTCCTGTGATGATGTCTAATTGTTGGGAACAGCATGAGATGCAAAGGAAAGGAGTGCTGTTGGCAATTGAAGACCAGTAAGAGGGAGGTGGCCCTGTAGAGATTACGGATACTTACACTTTCAATCTCGGTTTTCCTCTACCATAAGATAGATAACGTCTGTGGGTGTCAGGTAAAGCCTGAGTTACTGGTTCTGATGACCTAGAAAAGGTCAGACTAGGAAGCAAGTCAAGGAAATAAGTCAGAGGAGGGAGAGTCTTGGTGGAGTGACCTCACTTCCCACCTGATGGGAGAAATGGCAGCATCCGCATGGTGCTGAACAACACAATGGGACTGAAACAAAGGCGGACCCAGGCAGGGAGAAAGGGAGGTCCCCGAGGAAACAGGCTGTCAGGAGAGGAAGCCCCAAGCCTGACAGGAAGGCCCCTGCTCCCTAGCTTCCTGCTTTGCACCTGCTCCTGGAGATGATCCCTGTGGCCAGGGGCCCTGAGCATCCTCTGGTGGTCCTGAGCTCCCCCTGCAGCCCAGCCCCCTGTCTCCCTGCAGGGAAGTTTGTGTCTGGGCTCACACTGACTTCCCCTCACTGGATCTCGCACAGTAACGTACAGCAGTGTCCTCGGTGCTCACAGAGCTCAGCTGTGGGGAGAACTGGTTCTTGGACGTGTCAGCAGCGATGGAGATGCGGCTTTGGAAAGCGGTTTGTAGCTGTGCTCCCTGTCCAGTACCCCATCCACTCCAGCCCTTTCTCAGGACGCTGACGGATCCGATTCCAGTAGTAACTGCTGGTGACAGGGTCCCCGGAGACAGTGCAGGTGAGGGAGAGGGTCTGCGAGGGCTTCACCAGTCCTGGGCCCGACTCCCGCAGCGTCAGGTCAGACAGGACCCCTGGGAACAAGGAGAGCCGTGGGAGTCTGTCCCATCCCATGGAGCACTGGGGAAATACCAAGCCCACTCTCAGTGCTGACGCAGGAAGCCCAATCAAAGCCCGGAAGCTGCAACCCTAAGGATCAGACGGTTCCCACGTACCTTCCCTGCAAACCAGAGAAAGACACGTGTAATGATAAAATTAAAATCCTTTCAACACCTATAAAGGTAAAATTAACAGTGTCTACCTCCACCTGCCAAAGAAGTAGGAAGAAGTGGTACTTTACAACGAGGGGAAAGAGCAATCCACAGAAAGGGACCCGAGGCAGCGCAGGACAGAGGTGGTAGAGAAGTTAATTGTTCTGATTGCACATCATGGATTCAAACAGCCAGAGGGTACTTTGAACTTGTTGAACAGGGACACGCCTCTGCTTCCTTCTCCCATCTCCTTTCCGTGTTAACAATCAGGGACGCAGCCCTCCCCGCTCTGCCACACGAACCCCTGCTGCATTCATGCCCAGGCCCACCCACCGCCACACCCGGCGACTGTGACCTAACTCCTTCAGGTGACCCACCCAGGGGTAGGTGCTGGCAGCCTGAGGCTGTTCCTTTGTTCACGGTCAGTGGTCTCTCTCTGTGGTGGGAAGTGGCCAACAGCAGACGGTTGAGACCTGGCTTCCCTGAGGATCGTCCCTTTATCCACCCTCATTGACAGATGTCCCTGAGCAGGACCATGAGGCTGGCAGAGACCCAGGTGACCCTGAGGACGCCCCTCCTGCTGCTTGGGCTCTGGGCAGTGCTGGCTCCAGGCCAGTGTTCTAAAGGCCGTCCCTCGTGGCGCTACATCTCCTCCGAGGTGGTGATTCCCAGGAAGGAGTTGCAGAGCGGCAAAGGCGTGCAGATGCCAGGGTGGGTCTCCTACAGCCTGCGTTTTGGGGGCCAGAGACACGTTATCCACATGCGGCGCAAGAAACTGTTTGTGCCTAGACATCTGCTGCTGATGACTCAGGATGACCAAGGAGCCTTACAGGTGGACTCCCCCTTCATCCCTCAAGACTGTTATTACCTTGGCTACCTGGAGGAGATTCCTCTTTCCATGGTCACCGTGGACACGTGCTACAGGGGTATCGAAGGCATCATGAAGTTGGATGACCTTGCCTATGAAATCAAACCACTCAAGGATTCCCAAAGGTTTGAACACATTGTTTCTCAGATAGTGGCCGACACCAACGCCACAGGACCTGCATATAGACTGGGATACAAGGAGGATAGGGACGCCCTGTTCTCTCAGGCAAATGCCAGTGCAGAACCCAGGCTCTCCTCTAGGGTCTTTGCATCCCACTATGCATCAATAAAAGCCCTTGTAATGACTTCAAACAGGATGTACCGTGTGTACAACAATGTATCCAAATGTGCAACCTTTCTGATACATCTAAGTACTATAATTGATTCAATCTGGAGAGGTCTTGATCTTGGTATGTTTCTTACTGCCATAGTTATTTTTGACCAGAGAGATCCAGCTGACATGAATGACCATAGGGTGCCAGGCAGTGGGTTTTATAGCTATTTTTCTAACACGCTGAATACAGCTATGAATCCACATTCAAGCCTAATCGTGAAACGTGACGGGCCTCATGAACTTCAGTTTAGTCCAGGCACATATTCTATGTGCAAGAGACAAAATCTTATCATGCTGGGTGCTCTAGGCAGACATTATTTATTGCTGGCTATCATAGCATCTCAACAGATAGGGAGATCGTTTGGTCTGCTTTATGATGCTTCCACTTGTGTTTGCCAGAGAAGGACCACCTGCATCATGTACAGATACCCTGTGATGACGGATGCCTTCAGTAACTGTTCCTTTGAGCATACGCAAAACATACTTGGTAACGATGTATCCAAATGTGTGTTCTTCACCCAAAGGGTGTATTTAAATAAAAGCCTGACACAAGATCGTTGTGGAAACCATGTAGTGGAAGAAACGGAGCAGTGTGACTGCGGCTCCTTCAAGCAGTGTTACAGCAGCCCATGCTGCAATAGCAACTGTCGCTTTACGACTGGAAGCGCCTGTGACACAGGCAGATGCTGTACAAACTGCACCTTCTCCCCTGTTGGGACGCTTTGCAGACCAATCCAAAATATATGTGATCTTCCCGAGTACTGCCGAGGGTTAAGCTCGAAATGCCCTAACGACGTTTACATGCAAGATGGAACTCCATGTACTGAAGACGGCTACTGCTACCGTGGAAATTGCACTGACCGCAGCATTCACTGCAAAGAAATCTTTGGGGGAAAGGCTGTGAATGCTCCAAGGAGCTGCTATGAAATAAATAAAAGAGCCAATCGATTTGGACACTGCAGAAGAGCCGAAATGACGTACAGATTTGGGTCCTGTGCAAACGCGGACATTCTGTGTGGAAGGCTGCAGTGCATCAACGTCACGCACCTTCCGCAGCTGCAGGAACACGTCGCCTTGCATCAGTCTCTTATCTTAGATCACTTGTGCTTCGGGGTGGGTTCACACCGTGGGACCGGAACAACAGATGTGGGTCCTGTGAGAGATGGTAGCCTCTGTGATTCTGGAAGATACTGTCAAAATAGCTACTGCAATGGTTCTATCGAGGCAATGAATTATGACTGTACCCCTGAGAAATGCAATCTGAGAGGAGTCTGCAACAATCTGAGGCATTGCCATTGCCATGAAGGGTGGGAACCTCCAAGGTGCTTACAGAAAGGTGCAGGAGGGAGCGTTGACAGCGGACCCCCTCCAAGAAAACAGCGGAAGGTGACAGCCAGCCTGTGGCCAGTGGTGTACCTGAGAGTGCTCTTTGCCCGCATTTATGCCTTAATAGCTGCACTCCTCTTTGGCGTGGCCACAAATGTAAGAACTGTCAAGGTCACTGAAGTAAAGGAAGTGACAGTTGATGAAACTAAACAATAAATCAGCCTCCCACCCCTGTGTGACTGTAGGCAATGATGTGGACTAAGGCTGCCCCAGCTAGAGAAGCCCAAGGTGACCTGGCCTACATGCCGAACTATATGACCCGGTGGATTTTTTTTATGGTATGAATTAGGGCTGCCCCAGGGAGAGAAGCCCAGGGTATCCTCACCTACATGCCGATCTATATGACCAGATTCGTATCTAAAGTTATATGACCGCACGATAACCAGACCCCATCTGCACTGAAATCATTTAATGACTTTTTACATCATCTTTTCTTTTTCCAGTAAAAATAAGTCACGTACCCATGCCTTATAAAATTAGCCCTAACCCTCATCTCAGGGCAGCAGCAGCTCTGACTGCCCATGGGTCCTGTCCTCATGCAGCAGCGGCAGCAGCTCTGCCTGCCCATGGGTCCTGTCCCCATGCAGCAGCAGGAGCTCTGACTGCCCATGGGTTCTGTCCCCATGCAGCAGCAGCAGGAGCTCTGACTGCCCATGGGTCCTGTCCCCATGCAGCAGGAGCTCTGACTGCCCATGGGTTCTGTCCCCATGCAGCAGCAGCAGGCGCTCTGACTGCCCATGGGTCCTATCCCCATGCAGCAGCAGCAGGAGCTCTGACTGCCCATGGGTCCTATCCCCATGCAGCAGCAGCAACAGCTCTTCACTGCCCATGGGTCCTGTCCCCATGCTATTCCACACTATTCTCTAAATAAAAGAGCACTACTGCCAGATCTTGAGAGTCCAAGAAATCTTTCTTTCGACTCCTCGGCTCACCGACCCCGCATCAGGCAATAGACAAGGAACATCTGTGAAAAAATCAGTAAAGAGTTGGCAAAGCTGGAGCCCACATTTCCAGAAGTCTGCAGGAGACACAGGGGTCCCCCCACACATCATGGGTGGAGCGAGAGGTGTCAGCATTCTCATGCCAGGTCTCCCTGGTAGGTCACTGACCAGCACTCTGAAATAAATCTTAAAAAAGCGCATGCTGGTGTCCTCTACATTTTGCGTTAGCCTCTAAGAGCCCAGGCTGAGCCCTAGCCTCTGGCCAGGAAAGGAGACCTGAGTCAGCAGCTGGGTCTTGACCTGAGGTTGCTGGTCCCACTGGCAGGGGAAGTTGCCACAGGCTCCTTCAGGGGCGTATTCGTGACACATCTCCAAAAGACTGCTCTTGAGCACTGAGGTTTTCCTCATCCTCTGGTAATCTCTCCTCTAAACCCGAAGTGGGTTCAGGGCAATTGAGGGCCTCTCCCGACCGACACTGCCTGCCCCAGACTGGGGTGGCTGTGGTTGTGGGGCGAGAGGCATTGGCTTCACTTCTGACCTAACATGAACTGGGATGGTCTAGAGAGCAAATATCCCTGAGACGGGCACTCAGGCCATGATGCTGAATGCTGCATTCAGTGACATCCCATCAGAACCTTAGGAGAAGTGCCTGCCAAGGACACCGGCACTCCGAGGGAGCCTGTGAATGTTAGCTCCCCCTCCCTTCTCGCCTCTGCATTTCAGTGCCTGCAGAGGGACTGTGAGCTGAGTGGGTCATGGAGAATGACAGACACGGGTCTTTACAACAGGCCTGTGGGAGTGGAAAACCAGTCTACCTCATGGCTGAGTAATTTTCAGTCAACTGTTATTTTATGAGGTAACGCAAAATTAATAAAAAAGAAAATGCATAAGTCAAACATTTAAAAAATTGTTTTAAATTATCATTGAAATTATATTGGCCTTTTCCCCATGCAATACAGGTCCATGATGCAGAATTTAAAAGCCAAAAACTCCCATCACCTTAATGCCTTATACTTCCCACACCATGCACCGAAAAACACTTTTAGTCTGTTGTAACACTTGT